AGAATTATTTGTAAGTTAGATATTTAGGACATTAGCCAGAGGATTTTAAATTAATAGTTATATTTTAACATATGAGAGCAGCAACTTTGAGTAGGTTATTTAGCATTTGTTTTCTTATTTTCTTATAAGAACTGATTTTAAGATGCATTTCATATGAATATGAGTATTATCTACTTGTTCTTAGGTTTGACTGGTTTTTTCCCCCAAGTTCCAGGATTTCACGAAACAAAAAATTACATGTAGGTAGCTTTTACAGAGTAAGACTACCATAAGTAGACTCACGTAGGCAACTCCTCCCCTTAACCTACCATTAAAAATTGTTGTTGTACAATCTATCAAGCTTATTTGTTACTTCATCAGTTTCATACACACTGTTTAGTGTATGTGTACCAACCCATGTATACCATCAATTGAATGTTTGTGTCCCCTGAAAATTCACATGTCGAAACTCAACCCCAATGTGGCGGTATTTGGAGGTAGGGACTTCGGCAGGTGGTTAGGTTATGAGGACTCTGCCCTCATGAAGAGAGCTGGTAGAGACCCCAGAAGAGCTCTCTCACTCTGCTCTTTCTGTTGAAGGGGTGGAAAGACAGCGTCTATGAACCAGGAAGTAGGCTCTTACCAGACACTGAATCTGCTGGCGCCTTGATTCTGGACTTCCCAGAACTGTGACAAATAATTCGTGTCCCTTAAGCCATTCCTACTCTACCTCCCCTCACCCCGCCCCCCACCACAAATTGTTGTTAAGGCTTTTCATTAATAAGTTGGGAGTGAAAATGTACCATAATGAATGCATTACTGAGGAGGTCTTAATTTCAGATTTGCTGACTAAATCCATTCTAGGTGGAAATGTATGGAGGATGAAATGGATTTCAAAGCAAAACAAAACCCTCTTTCTTGTGCTTTTATAAACGTAAAACTTTTTCAGGCAACTTGAGCTGGTTAAGAGAGTGTTTGGACAACCGAGTCGGTGTGAATGGCTTAGACAAAGCTGGAAGCACTGCCCTGTACTGGGCCTGCCACGGGGGCCACAAAGGTACTATGTTCTGTTCATTACCGTCGATGTCCATGCTGCTGAAAATGTGCTTCAGGTGGGGGAGCGGGGTTTACAGAAATGAAACAAAAATTATGCTTTTCACATCCTATAGAAGATCGGCCAAAACCTTGCTCCGGGAGGTCTGGAAAACAGTAGGTAGGATGCTCACTGCATGGACCTCTCTCACTTGAAAGAGTGGGAACTTCCTTTCCTCTCTTGAGCTTGGAGGGGTTACAGGAAAACCATAGTAATGTCAACACAAACCCCACTATCTAATCTGACAGAAGAAAGGGGCAGAAGTGACTACTCTGCCTACTGCTCTAGCTTAGCTTTTCCCGAGACATGTTTTCATGGTTTACATGAATGTTTAATGCATGCTGTTAGATTCAGGGGAAAGACAGCATTTGTGTCAGTTAGTGGTTGAGTGGGCAGCCTTCTCAGTTGCAACCAGTAATACAACAAATGGAATTTCTAGATCTGTTTCAGCCTGACCCCAAATCTGCCACATCCACTCTCTTTCCCCCTCTCCCTACAACACACACACACAAAATAAATACGACAGCAATGAGAAAGAGCACCCAACAAACTAAACAGCATAGCCAGAGGACAGTTCGTGGCTCTTCCCCAAAAGAAGCCGATCTCATTTTAGCTAACAAACGCAGATTCGTTAAATGAGTGTAAAGTGTCATGGTGAATGTAGAGCTATTTCTATAATAGTTGCCATGTGAAAAATGCAAAAGCCAAATTATTGGAACACAGTTTTTCCTTAGATAATTCTACTTTTTAGGCTCTTAAGTCTTGTATTTACGTAAATTTTAGCAAATTTGTTGCAAGGATTTTTTTGAAGATTCTTCTAAAGAATCAATCCTCTTTTTAAAATGATTATGCCTAGTCTTGCCAGCCTTTTCCTTTGCACTCTTGAAAAATACCTTTTCTATTTCAGATATAGTGGAGATGCTGTTTACTCAACCAAACATTGAACTGAACCAACAGGTAAGATCGCTTATGCGGAAGTTGGTGGTCACTTAACACACCTGCCTTGTTCTCGTGGTGTGACTTATGGGCATGGAAAGTCCTATCTTTGTGCCTTGAACTGACCTTTTCCCATTTATTATCTTTCATACAATTTTTAATCCAAGTAGTAGAAGTGCATCATTAAAAATGTACCATTGTACCGAAGTCCAAATTGTATAAAGCCCAAAACACCTACCATGTTCCTTCTCATATGTCACTCTCAACGTTTAGCTCTTAACTCTTGCCTTCATGTTACTAAGGAAGATGCTTATGGGGCTGTCCTCTAAGTCATCATCTTCATAAATATTTCAGTGCCCCATCTGAAGGTTGAAGCTTATCAGCTGCCCCAACTCTGATCTGCCAGTGCCCACCCTTTGTTCCTCTGGTCTGCCCCACGTATCATATCATAGTTTTTGGTTATATTACTCTATGATGCTTACAAGTATTATGGCTATTTAAATGTTTAAATGCTGCTCGCTGCTTGTATAACTTTTGTTTCTGTACTTCTTGACTTTTATTTTGCTGAGAATATTTTTTTTTCGAGGTTTATTTATCTTGAGACAGAGAGAAAGCATGAGTAGGGGAGGGGCAGAGAGAGAGAGAGGAGACAGTGAGACTCCCAAGTAGGCTCTACACTGTCCGTGCAGAGCCCAGTGCAGGGATCAAACTCAGGTAGCATGAAATCATGACCTAAGTCGGACACTTAACTGAGCCACCCAGGAGCCCCTCGCTGGTTTTTGGTTTTTGTATCTCATTAAGATTCCCACACTGTTTAACGTTCTCTTGATATACTTTCTTTTTTCTCCCTGGAATGGTACTTCCCGAAGCCCTCATCCTCGATCTCTGCTCTGAGCGTCTCTTTACTGGCGCCTTTCTCCCGGGGTGTGTCTTCACTTTTCTGGATCCCGTGTTTTCCTCCTTTTGTTGAAGAACATCCTTGAAGATTCCTAAGAAAGGGGACCTAGGGATTGATGATTTGGCTGACAGAATTCTAGGTTGAGAATGATTTTCCTCAGAATTTCGCAGGCAAGGCTCTATGGTATTCCGGTTTTTAGGATTGCTCTTGAGAAGTTTGATGCCATTTTGATTCCCATTCTTTTGTGTGTGATCTGCTTTTTTGTTGCTTAGAATCATTACCCTGTCCTTGATGTTCTAAAATTTCTTAATGTGCTTCAGCGTGTTTCTTCCCAGTAAAGGTGGTGGACTGTCTCAGCCTGAAAGGGTCTACTGTTTCTTTTCTAGTTTTTATTGACCATTGTCTTTATTCTTTGGTTCTGGAATGCCCATCAGTAGTTAGGTTGGACCTCTTGTTGAGTCTCCAGTTATTTTAGTTTTTCTCAGAGATTTTTTACCTTTTTTTTAAGTTTATGTGTTTATTTTGAGAGAGAGAGAGAAAGAGAGAGAAACTGAGAAAGAGTATGTAGGGGAGGGGCAGAGAGAGGGGGAGAGATTGAGAATCCCAAGAAGGCTCTGTGCTGTCAGCGTGGAGCCCTACTCGGGGCTCGAACTCCCCAACCATGAGATCACGACTGGAGCAGAAATCAAGAGTTAACCAACTGAGCCACCCAGGCACTCCAAGATTTTCTTAGCTTTATGTTTTATTTTGGTTACCTTTTTAATTCCTCAATGTCCTAGGTTTTCTATTGCTATGTGACAAATAACCCACAAGCTTAGTTGCTTAAAACAACACGCATTTACCTTATATGTTCTGTAAGCCAGAATTCTGGGCATGGCAGAGCTGGGCTCTCTGCTCAGGGTCTCACGGGCCAGAGTCACGGTATTGGCCAGAAGCAGGTTCTCATCTGGAGCTCAGATCTCATTCCAGGTTCGTTCAGGTTGCCGGCGGGATTGAGTTTCTTGCACCTGCAGTGCTCTGGACCTCAGCTTTCAGAGATCACCCCTCTCCGTTGACATTTCACAACATGGCTGTTTGCTTTCTTCCTAAAGGTCACTAGGAGATTGTGTTTCTGAAGCTATACCTTTGGGAAAGGGCCCGTCTGATTTGGTCATGCCCACCCAGTATAATCTGTCTTTTGATGAACTCAATGTCAACTGATTAGAAACTGCATTATGGGAGTGATATCCTATTATATTCATTAGTCTCATACATACTTGAGGGGGAGGAATTTTACAGGGGGTGGATCCCCAGGGGGCGGGGATCTTGGGCAGCATCTTAGAATTTTGTCTACTTATAAGCTGTTTTACTCTCATGATTGCTTTCTTTTTTAAATGTTTCTTCTTTTTACTTATTTTTGGCGGGTGGGAGGACAGAGGATCTGAAGCAGGCTCTGTACTGACAGCAGAGAGCCTGACACGGGGCTCACATTCATGAATGGCCAAGTCATAACTTGAGCCGAAGTCAGACGCTTAACTGACTGAGGCACCCAGGTGCCCTGCTGATTATTGCTTTTAAATCGCTTCTTTTCTTGTTGCATGACGCTGCATATCATGTTGTATCTTGCCTATATTAATTACAGCTTTTTAAAACCTTTCCTGCCATTCACTGTATTGTGTCTTTTCCCTCTGAGATCCATTCGTTTTGTTTTAATCTTCTCTCAAATATGAGAGGCTTTCCTCAAATACCTAGTATCTTTGTGTCTCCAGTCATGTTTAAGGGTGACTGGAAGTTCTGCATGCACATGGGGCTTACTGGCTGTGGGCTTCTCTGTAGGGTGAGGTGGAAAGGTCCTGGCTGTTGTGCTGGGTTATCCCCAGATGTCAGCGTGAGTATGCTCTCCCCCTCCACATGCAGGGCTATTCACCTCCACCGGAGGATTGTCCTCCAGCTCCCTGCCTGCAGGTGCTAGGCTGTATACACTGGGGCAGCAGGGTAGGTAAAGGCAGCTGGGAGAGGAGTCTTACCGCTCAATTTGTAGGTGTCTCAGCTCACCCACCACTTTTAGTTCCTGGCCTTATTGCCACCTTCCCTTGTACCCGAGTCCCCTGAGCTTGGAAACTACCTGGTTCATTTTTCGACAGGGTCATCCTGCCATCCGCACTGGGTCACCTGGCAGCAAGGAGAGAGGAAGGTGATCTAATTCCTTTTTTTTTTTTTTAATGTTTATTTATTTTGAGAGAGAGTGCGCGTGCGCGAGCTGGGGAAGAGCCGAGAGAGATGGAAGAGAGAGAATCCCAAGCAGGCTCCCCACTCTCAGCACCGAGCCCGACATGGGGCTCGATCGCACGAACCAGGAGATCATGACCTGGGCCAAAATCAAGAGTCAGATGCTTAAGGCACCCCTGATTATTTCTATAAACACTTTCACCCAGTACTCTTGTGTCCAGTCCCGTGCCTCACGCTCGTTCCAGTGTCTCCGGGCATCGCCAGGGCCTGATTTCTTGCGAGGTTTGCAGGGGCAGGTCTGCTTGCTCCCTCCTGGTGTTTCCCTCTGCTCTGCCACGTCCGTTTCTCCTCTTTCATCCATCCCCTCCCCCCAAATGACTTTTCTCTCATCCCTTGAGTCTCCTTTCTCTCTTGGGAACTTTATATGACTTTATAACTCGTTCTCACTTTGAGTTTGCTTGGAGTAAACCTGAATTCGCGCATGTTTTCAACCCACCGTCTCTTTTTAAAATGCTGCTTTCTCTTTTTAAATCACCATAGAACAAGTTGGGAGACACAGCTTTGCACGCCGCTGCCTGGAAAGGTTATGCAGATATTGTCCACTTGCTTCTGGAAAAAGGTAAAGCATCTGTCTGGCCTTTGCTCACCCTGGAAAAACAGGCTGTGTTCAATTACATTATTTGAAATAGTAGGAAGAATCATAGGCTCCATGTTTTGAAACTGGGATTTTAACCTCTACTCTGTCTGTATCACAGAGTTGTTACAATAAGACGAAGTTACAGTGGTGATTTGTGTTAAATTTTTCGTTTTACGTTAAAAGCTTGGTAAGCTTTAAAATTACATATATTACTTTTCGTAGGAGTTTATTGTATATTTCTGTGGGATTAAAGGGTCCTTGGAGAAAGGCGTGTGTATGTGCACCCGTGCAGAGAAGATGCTATCTCAGAAAGCTGTAGGGGAAAGGTGCTGAGGCCCCTGTTCACAAGGAAAGTCCTGACAGATAAAGAATGCTGTGGCTGTAATGTCCTGCTTTGATCTGAGCAGGTGCTACAAGTACGGGGAAGATGAAGATACCTCGATTCCCTATTTTTATACAAGTCAGAGGGGACAGTGAAATTATGAACTGACCATCCATCCATCCATCCGTCACATAAATATTAATCCTTACAGAGGGCCAGGCATATCCCCCCGTCCTGCATCCTGGTCCAGAAGCTATAATATAAGATGCTTGAATCCCAAGGTGTCTTATGGATGCACGTTCATTAGGGATCCTCACAGCAATGTTGTGGGATATAGAGAGGACGTGTTATTGATTTAAAGGACATTGGTGATGTACATCTCAGGTACAAAAGATCAGACAGCATGAGGTGCCCCCTAAGGGTTATGCTGAGAACTGGGCTGTCTGTGCTGGCTGCCACTAACCACACAGGCCCCTGAGCCCATGAAATGAGCATGGTCTGGACCAAGATGTACTGTAAGTGTAACAGGCACGTCAAATTTCAAAGACTTAGGGAAAAAAAAAAAGACGTAAAGTATCGCAATAACTTTTATATCGGTTATATGATAAAGGGGTAACATTTTGGATCTACTGTGTTAAATAAGATATGTCATTAAAACGGTTTCCACCTTTTGAAAATGTGGCCGCTAGAAAATTTAAAATGACACATGTGGCTCACATCGTATTTCTCTTGGGTAGCATTCGTTGGGAGGGACCCAGGAAATGGTCATTTCTTCTCTTGCCTTGCTGGCTGCAAACATTTCCTGTCCTGAAAGAAATCATGTATATGGGTTCTAAAGTGCAACTTAACGTAAGATATGATCAGTCACAGAGCTCTTAACCCTCCGGAATTTATCCCCGTGGCCCAATAAGCGAATGAGGTTTCTATAGACCCTTAGCTGTGGGCAGATCTAAGTCTCATGAGAGAGATTTTTAGACACAGTCGCCATATTCCTAATTAAACAAACCATGCTTTCTTGACTCAGTATTTTTGTCCCTTTGAGTTTCATTACACTTATTTTTTTGTTTCCTGAAGAGGATGAGATTACAAGCAAAATGACTCTCTCCTGTACTGTGGCAGAAAGTATAAACTGGTAAAGCCTTCTTGGACAGCGATCGGACAGTAGCTAGCAGAATTAAAAATATACATAGCCTTATATCCCAGCATCACTTCTAGGAAGCCATACTTCAGAAAGCTGGTGTTCAAGGAGATTTACAGCAATATTGTTTGTGGTAAAGGAATAGCCTAAGTGTCCCTCGATAGGGGAAGAGGAGAGTTATTAAATAAATATTGGAATGCCCACAAAATTGAATACTTACAAATGTTTACATGGATTGAGCTATGTGTACTACTGAGGAATGAGTTCCATTATATATTGCTAAGTTAAAAAAATCGACTTACAGACTGTTATATGTGGTGTGATTTTACGTATATATGCATAGATGTCTGTGAGTGCATTCCTGCACCTGAGGGAGGTGAGGACTGATACCCACTTGCTGGGAATGGATTCCCCCAGACAAACTGGAAGATGGGGCAGGGAGGGGTTGGTCAGGGGACGAAACGGGACGTATGCTTTTGTTCAGCACACTTCTGCATTTGTGAAGTTTTGGCAACGAAAATATACCCACGAATTCTGATGTAATTTTTATCACCACGAAGACCCGGACGAAACGCAAGCAGAAGATGTGCTGTGGGAACAATGGATTGCCTCTAGGTTTTATGGTGTTACTCTTCTGCTAATTTGCACAAGAGTATACTTGGCAGATATGAAATACTAATCCCGGCAGGCACCACCCACACGGGCTTCTCTCAAGAAGCAAAGGGTATGTTAAACTAATCTCCAAAAACTCGTGCCAAGACACATTGGAGTCCAACTGACTCAGGAGGTACCTCGGGGATAGTGAAGTCCCCCCTGAAAAGTCACATGCAGCAGTCTGAGGATTTGAAAGGAAAGGCTCTATTTTAATTGTGCCTAATTATCTGGGACGCAGCAGCAAGCGCCCTGATTTCAAGACGCCAAACGTGCTTTGACTGTTTTGAAAAAGCTTACTTCAGGGCCAGAATGGTTCTCTAGGCAGTTTGGCCAAAAGTGATTCGTCTTGGTGGGAAGAAGAATCTGTAGTAGCGGACTACAGATTCTTCAAAAACACCTGACTTGCTTTTCTTGTGTTGGGGAAGGTGCAAGAACAGACTTGAGAAACAACGAGAAGAAGCTGGCCCTGGATATGGCCACCAACGCGGCCTGTGCGTCTCTCCTGAAAAAGAAACAGGGAACAGGTATTTGCCTTCGATCCTTCTTTCTCCTCTGACGCCATCATGACTAAGATTTACCATCTTAGAATTGGGGAAACGTTTTCTTGGTAAACTCTTCATGTGGTTCTGAAGTCAGATTTTATATCCTGGGTCTCATTTGGAACGTGCAACATTGAAGAATGCCTTCATGCAAGCAAATCGAAGAGACTTTGGCCTTTTAGTATTTTTTGTGTGTTTCCTTTGTTCCTTGCAATCAGGTCGTAATCACTTGCTTTCCAGTAGAGCCCTTATCAGAGAACCATGGTTCCGGATATGGTTTTACAAGTGGTTGTCTCTAAATATTTATTTTTCAATTAAGCACTGAAGAGCTCCATGATTATATTTTATCTCTGTTTTAAACGAGAGTATCAGTAAACTACGATCAGAATTATTCTGGTCTTGATAACCAATTTGATGTTTGTTTACAGACCGTGGGGTGGTTTTTAAAGGTAAAGTTTAGGTATACATTCTTCGAGATAAAAATATCTATTGGCGTGGGAGATGGGGTTGGAAAAAAAAAAAAGAAAGGTCCTTGTGGTTATTTTGAAAAGGGGTTAAAGAAAAGGTGTGAAACACGCTTGCATTGTTCATGATTACTATTCAGAGACTGGCTGTTTATTGGACTTCTCTGTACATAATGTACTGAATGCTTCCCCCTGAAAGAAATGCTGGGGGGCGGTGTGCCTTACCCCTCCTTCTCATTTTCCTCTCCTGTCTCTCCCCTTCGTCCACCATCAGCCTCCCGGCCCCTGAGGAACCCCGAGGGAGAAAAAAGAAAAATACAAGATGTTTTGGCTGGAGGGGACATTCAATCTTTTTTTTCCCCCCCTCACTTCTCAAGCCTTCCTCTACCTTTATCTCGTGTTTGGCACTTTCATACCACTTTGGAGTATAAGCCAATGATCGATACATCTTGTCCACCGTTTTCTAGAATGGAACTAGTATAATGGAGAACTCGCTTTTCATGTCTTTAGTGAGCATTGGTACTCATCATTCCAACCCTTTTTAGTATTGCTTTTTAGAGTCTAAAGTTTAGCCTGGTCCATGTTGGTGGAGAGTCACCAAAACAACTTCTGAGACATTTCTAGTGTAGAGGCTGAGTACATTTTTGTTTCTACTTTAATCTGAGGACGTTGTCACCCTCCGAGCTTGTGGAGTGAGGTACTGATTTGTTTTCCTATATGAATCACATTCCCATTCGTTTTGGAACCCTTGGAAAGCTTCTCTCTTCCTTAAGTCCCCTTTGTTTTATGAGAAGAGGTGGTGTTACCTTGTCCCATATCCCTGTTCCCGCGGAAGCAACAAAATACAGTCCGATCTCTGGTTTCCTGCTTTAGTTAATCAAAAATAGCAAACAGTCCTCCTTTCTTCATGACTTGCCAAGGGAGCTTCCCAGAATGATCCTCCTTGCCCATCACCAAATTCCCGTCATAGCCCTCCTCACGAGTCTGCTGTTCCTTTTGTTCTTTACTCCAGATATGTCTTTGTTTCAGTTTCTTACTTCTTTTAACTTCAGTTCAGATGTAGTGTAAACCACTAAGCGGCTTGGGTTTCTTAATTATCTCAGCCGTGAATGCTCACTGGCAGAGCTGGTGTTTCTTTAAAGTAATTACTCATGCGTAGATGGATCGAGGGTCTGCTAAGTGAGCGGGAAAGTATGTACCAGCTGCGTGGTGCTCCCCAGCTACATTTTGATTGAGAAGTGTATATGCAGCCATGTAGGAGAGATGCTTTTACTTGGCACAGACCTCTTCCTGCCTGCTGCCTTGGTTGGGTCAGGAAGTAGGACTATGGCCCAACTTCCTTTTTCTGCCACTGACTTCCTGTTGTTCTAGGGGTACCTTCAGAATGTCCTGAGCGAGGAGTAAGGTTTCTTAGGAGTTGAAGGTTATCAGAGCCCCATGTACACTATGAGCTTGATCATGATAGGCAAGGAGAATGCCACACTTGCTCAAACCCCAGAGAGCTGTACCCAGAAGCCTCCATCTGGGCACCCAGAGCTGGGAAGGCACATCTGCTCTTTTTCCCTCACCCTTCTGCAGTCTTTGTAGAACAGGGCTGGGAGGTAGGTCTCCTCTGCTCTGTTCACACTAAGTGTCTTTGGTCTACTTTCCTAAATGTGTAATGATTAGATAATGGACTCATCAATGAGGTAATCTTAGGGCTTGACACAGAGGCAAGAAATGAATTTTCATATTTCAGTTTTCACGTTACCTTTTTCTTTTCTTTTTTCTCGCTTCATTACCTCAATCGTCCAGTGAAAAGTCTGAATTTGTATTGTGATCTTAGTTGGAGTAAGAGTTGAATATTGGGCCATATAGCTAATTGCCAGCACGAACTCTACACTGGGAAAAGTATATTCTGATGTTGTTTTCCAGTTTTAAAAGCACATCTTGGAATTTTTTTTTTTTTAAGAGAGAGAGTGCACTAGCAGGGGAGAGGGGCAGAGGGAAAGAGAGCGAGAGAGACAGAAACTCTCAGGCAGCCTCCACACTCAGCATGAAGCTGACATGGGGCTTGATCCCACAACCCTGGTATCATGACCTGAGCCGAAATCAAGAGTCAGATGCTCAATTGCCTGGGTGCCACCCAGGCACCCCTTATCTTGGATTTTTTTTTTTAAATTTTTTTTTTCAACGTTTATTTATTTTTGGGACAGAGAGAGACAGAGCATGAACGGGGGAGGGGCAGAGAGAGGGAGACACAGAATCGGAAACAGGCTCCAGGCTCTGAGCCATCAGCCCAGAGCCTGACGTGGGGCTCGAACTCACGGACCGCGAGATCGTGACCTGGCTGAAGTCGGACGATTAACCGACTGCGCCACCCAGGCGCCCCATATCTTGGATTTTTTTAATGAGAAAAAACAAGTCACATTTTGTAGTTACCATGAAGGGTAACTTTGGGACATGTGTGTAGGGCCGAGGATCAGCCCTACCTTGAGGAGTCAACACTTTAAATTCTTTTTCCAGTTTTTACAAATTGGGGTATAATTTATATTAAGTAAAGTATATAAATCCTAAGTTTACATCTTGATATTTTTTTTAAACCGTGCTTACACCTATTTGCCACAACCCGGATTAAGGTAGAGAACATTTTCCATACCCTGAAAAACCCCTCCACGTCCTCCTCTTCTCTCACCATAGCCTAGTTTTGCCTGTGCTTGAACTTGATATAAATGGAACCAAACAGTATGTACTTTCTTGTGTCTAACTTCTTTTCACTTAATGCTGTGCCTGTGAGATTTATCCAGGTTACTGTGTCTGTCTTTCCACCCTTTATGGTTTGTTTGACTGTCTGTCTTAAGTGCTAGTACTTGGTTTGGAATGTGCAAATTCAGGTCAGTGACATTGAGGAGAGATGGAAGTCAGCTAGGGGGAACGGGGAGGCATGGTTAGGAGTTACATTACCATGATGGTCACGGCCCAAGATGGGCTATGAAGAGACGGAGCTCCTCAGCACTTGGCCATGTGAGAAGATTCCAGAGAAACTGTGCCTGGGAGCAATCCATAAAAGGAAGGAAGGAGAGGGAATTTATTTTCCTGGCTCGTTCCTGTCTCTTGATTTCCATTCAGTAAGAGTTTGCAGCATGGCGAGCCTTCTTCTCTTGCTAACAGGAGAAACGAGGTTGAAATAAAGTGCCGAGGTAACCGTTGGAGGCCCAAGACTACCTCAGTGGGCAACATGTAGGATTGTAGGAGCAAAGCAGAGTAGGAAAGAGCCTTGCTATGGTCTTTTTGTCTGTGGCTTAAGAAGACAAAAAGTTTACAGCCAGTCCTGAAGTTGTACGTGCACGTGGGATAGAACAAAGTATATTCCTCCCAGGTCTCCAGAACTTCTCATAAGGAGGATGGAGATGAATGCAGACAAGCTGGAGATTTCTAGTAGTTTGGAAGCTGGTGTGAAATTATTCAAGGCTGCCTCTGTTCTGTTTATATCCACTTCTTTGAATCCAAATCTTTCCTTCTCGTATACGTTTCTACCTCCCTTGTACCAACTCTCCCTTGTCCCTTTCTTTTTTCTCTATAATTATTTTCCTAAATTTGTAAAGATAATGACTGAGCAAAGCTACATTATCACTAGCAGACCTAAAATTAATAATTCCTTCATATCTTCAAGTATCTTGTCACTGTCCAGATTCACCATTTTTTCCCATACATGTTTGTTTCTGCTTTGTTGACTTACTTATCTGTTTCTTTATTTATAGTTTAAGTCAGGGTCTAAATAAGGTCAGGTTCTGATTGGTAGATACATCTCCTAAATCATTGTTTCCTTTCCTTCTCCTCTCCCCCTCTTCGTTTAGCCTGGCTATTTATTTATTAAAGAAGCAGGGTCAGTTTTCCTGAATTTCTCAGTCTAGGCATTGCATAAATGCATTCTCAGGGTGTTTGACAGGTTCCTCTTTCCTCTGTAATCTTGTCACTTGGTGTTAGATCTAAAGGTTCCTCTGTATTTTTGTCATTTGGTGTTAGATCTAGAGGTTTGATTAGATTCTACATTTTATGTGTCTGTGAAAGGGTAGATGGAAGAATGCTTCATGAAGAAAGCTGTGTTCTTTCATCAGAGGCACGTATTATCTGTCTGTCACTCATCCTGTGATGTTAGCATTCATTGATGATCGTTGTCTAGATCCATTAGTTCACTAACAGTTGTGAAATGGCCATATTCTAGTTCTGTCACTCCTGTCTCAGTTATCAGCTGGAACATTCTATAAAAAAAATTGCCCTTCATCCATGGTTTGATGACTCCAAGGAATAGTTTGTGTAGTAGAAGAATAAAGGCTTGATTTTCGTCCTTTATTTAGGAGTTTTCAAAATAATGTGCTGGTTCCTTCTCATTCTCCAAAGAGGACTAGTGGCTTCTCTGCGATGTGCGTTGCAATATTTGCTGTGTTTCAATCCATTATACTTAGTATCCCTGTTGATAGCTCCTCTTTGGCTAGTGGAGGCCTCTTCGGGTTGGATCGTGAACCTTTGACGCTCTCTTTGACAGCATCCTTGTTTTACGGTATGACAAGAGGTACACTTTCTGCCCCAGACTTGGAATCAGTCGTTTCTCCAATGAGCACGGGAAGATAGTATTTAGAGACCATGATAACATACACTTGTTGAGCTCTGACGGTGGTTAGGCTCGTGTTTCAGTTTGCCCCCTGAAATTATACCCCGTGTAACCTGTTGCTTATAGGCATTTAAATAGACAACCGAATAGGTGACCACTTAAAGATGAGATGTCTTCGTTTTGACCCCTGCTCAAGCTTGATGTCACGTATGGTAGGGTTCGTCTCTTTCTGTTTCAAATTTCTGGGTTTTTTTTAAATTTCATTCTTTTACCTCTGAGCATACTTTATTTATCCGTGCTTTTTTAAAATTATTATTTTTTTTTAATTTATCCGTGCTTTTAGAGATGAAACCGAAGCTTCTGTGTTTTCATTCTGCTTCTTTTCCTTTTTTTCTCCCCTCATTAGTTACCTTTCTACCCAGTGATCTTGCCTTCAAGTAAGGCTGCAGGCTGTCGACTGACCGAAGCCACATGTGGCACTTGTCATTGGGAGAGGGGGTTGGACGAGTGGAGGGGCGTCCGGTGTGTTCCGTGCCGGTCACGGCACATGTGGCTGGTTGCATTTTGTGCAAGGTAGATTAATGGTACCTGCGGCCTACGGGCTTTACTTTTCTGCGTGTCCAAGGAACGAGCAGACAGCTGCGTTTGTCAGCCTCTGGGACAGCAGACACTGAACAGTCAGGCAGGAAAGCAAAAGTTGAAAAAGATCCTCAGGGGTGGTACAGTCCCCAGGCCTGAGGAAAGATTACGATCCCTTGAGGTATCAGGAGCTTTGAAAGTGCAAACCAAATGTGAGCAATCTGTAATTTGCCCGTTTTGCCTTCCCGCCATTCCTTTTAGATGCTGTTCGAACATTAAGCAATGCCGAGGAGTATCTTGATGACGAAGACTCAGATTAATTCCCTTCTGGAGCTTTGAGATCTAAAACTTGTGTTCCTTTTGCCATTCCAAAACCCTCGTCTTTGCCAGAAGAGTGTTGGTAACCGGTTTTTGGTTTTTGGTTTTTTTTGGTTTGGGTTTTTTTGTTTTTGTTTTTGTTTTTGTTTTTTGAAGTCTATATGAACATGGAAGTCTTGCACTGTGTTTGAGTAGAACATGTAAATGGGTAGGTTCTCACCTTCAGTTTGCCAATAAGTGACTGGATATTTTGCTGTATAAAGTACATTTTTGTTCACCAGAGTAGAACAAGAAGAGATTATTTCTATTTATCAAGCTAAAGGAATTTTAAGAATTTTCTTCTTTAAAAAAAAAGATCAGTTCTTTTTTTGTTTTTTTTGTTTTGTTTTGTTTTTTTAGTTAAAGTTCTTTACCTCAAGGATTAAAATATTTTGAGTGGGTTTTTCAAGGGGAAAAATGCTTGTTATAAGTAATGAACCAAAAGACTTAACAGAAAATCGTCAGCTATTCTGACAAAAATAAACATTTGAAGAGACTGGATTCCTTTTGTCTGTTTTTTGTGGTATCACTCTTTGCCGGTAAATAAAGCTTTTTATATTTATATTTAGGTGAAGGCTGATTTTATCTTTTAAGTTGTATTTTATATTTATTAGCACAAAGGAATCACAATAGCCAAATTTCTTTTCAGCTCTGTATATTGGCTTTGATTAGAGTCCATAATCATTGAGAAGATATATTTATAATGAAATACATAATGTTAGTCATCGTTAGACTTTTAGTTTATCTCTGAGGTTACACTTAGTATGAAGAAATTCAGCAACTCATTACAGTCTGCTGAAGGTCTGAAAATGAAAAAAATTGATTTCCTTATCATACAAGACGCCATGGTTTTCTGTAATGGAGTAGCCAGGAGCCATGAAATTTTTTTTACTTTGATAGCATTTGTTTTCCCAGAGCATGGCTCGAGCTCATAAAAACTCAGCTTCTTTTGCTAAAACATCAATTTATATTGCAGGGAGCCCTCTGTACTACTGAAAGACACTTGATTTGAGATTCTAATTTTGTATCAAGGTGGCGATGACATTAAGAATGACATGGCCGTTGGCATTTGCCTAGGTTCCAGGCCCCGGGTCCAGAAGTGTATTTTGCAAGAAGACTTTGATGCTAATTTCAAAAAACACATTGGTGAAGAGAAGGAAATGTTTGAAAAAGGAAGTGGGTTAGCTCAGGAAATGAATAACTGCTACTGTGAGAGTTTTCTATCTGTGACTGTTTGGTTTTTTTCTCTCTGTGGGTGCCTTGAGGAAGAGTATCCTGAGAAGCCTGTTTGAGGTCTTTCTAATACCCCAACCAAATTTCAATAGAAAGAAATCTGTATAAGTAGTGAAAGCACAAAATCTGAAAATTAATGAAAAAGGTATTTTATCCTCAAAATAAATGTTTACTAAATTTGAGTTAAGCAGTTGTATTTCTTCATAAGCATAAACTTGAAGATATGAAATCCTTGTTGAAATTACATCTGTTCCCCCAGAACCTTTAGGGGTTCATTCTTTGAAATGGGGCTTGTCTGGTGGTGGGGGGGCACCTGGCTGGCTCAGTCGGTGGAGTGTGCAACTCTTGATCTCAGGGTTGTGAGTTCGAGCCCCATGTTGAGTGTAGAGATTGCTTACAGATAAAATCTTTGAAATGAAATGATTAAAATAAAATACAGGGTTCGTGCCTTAACGAAAAGTTTTTGGAAAGCTCTCATTTTTTGTTCTTGTATACTTTGGGCCTGGAGTAATTAGGATAGATGCCAGCTAAACACTTTTAATTTTTTAACATGGGCAGAGGTAATACAGATTGCATGAATATAGATAATTTTGGGGGAACTGCTCTGTGCTTGATGTAGGCATACTATTTATGTATTGAAGGAAAAGAATAGTGAGTAGCTTCACTGTCATTGCTTTTAACATTATTGACCTTATAAAGATTTTAGAAAGTTGGCCAACCAGAGTTTTGTGGGGGTGCGGGTCGGACTTAGGTATATGCGAGGAGTTTCTGGTGAAACAAAGAAGGACAGTGCAGTTAGCTGTAGTTGAGACTTCATAAGAAAACATACTTTTCCTTCTTGTTTATTCAGCCTAGCCGATCTGAGCTTTTTCAGAGACTGTTTAATGCTGAACTCAGCAACAAAACTCAGTTCTAAGAACTTGTCACCACTCTGATGCTGTGCAGAGAAGAGCTTTGATTATGTTCTGGAAATGACTTTGGAGGTTTTGCTGTAACATGAGCTTTTTGACAGTCCCTGTGGCCTGAACTCCTCCCCAGCCTGTTGCACGCGTTAGATAGAGAATGTCTTCCAGCCCTTGGGTCCGTGAAGTGCATCAGCTTTAGGCCCAGTAGCCTCACGCAGAGAACGGTTTTTATCAATTTCCCATTTTAGTTTCCTTTCTGGGGCTGGTCTGTGGCAAATTATCTGTTGTTGAGCTGCCATGCATTACATTTGTCAATTTCCGTATTTCTCTGGTGAGCCCTCCCCATTGTCTTATTTTTTTTTTCAATAGAGTGTCCGTGTTGTCACCCAAAAGGGAATAAATGTTAAGCAAAGCAGGAGTGATCTTATTTTTTCTTAATCTTAAAAACCCAATTGGAAACAATGCTGAAAATGAAATCTCAGGTAATTTTAGGTAGAAGAAAATAAAATTTGCCCATATGAGCTTTCTTCGTAAGTGTTCTGTATTGTGTGGAATTTCTGATTTACTGCTGTTTCTTCTTATCCTGAACCCTGTACTTCTCATTTTTGTGAATGATGATTTCTTTTCTGATAAGCTACATGGAGCCTAACATTTACATCAGCCTTTCCCTGTTGGCTTTGATTTTGTGCTCGTTCTCCTGAATTTTATGCTGTATATACGTCTGTAACAGTAATACGCAGATAGCCATACATTGTCCAGCCTAACTTCAAAGTGCCTGATTACTGAAAGTTGGGGTTTTGGTGGGAGAAGTATTGCAAAAGATTCTATTCTCCCTATTTGAGCTGAAAACACAACTTTGGTGAAGTTTTCTGAAGTGAAGGAAAAAACTCGCAGGCCACAAATTCATGGTTGCTTTCTCCTCATTTCTTAATAACAAGCCTTTACATCTGCCCGTCCCTTAAAATGACATAAGATTAAATAAAACTACCATTTATTAAATGCCTACCCTGCCGGTTTCTGTGCCAGGCAGTTTCGTAGACGTGATGTCATTTGATCTTTGCAGCAACCCCGGGCGGTGAACATTAATGCCCCTGTCTTTACAGAAAAGCTGAGGTTTGAAGAAGCTAAGTAACTAGCTCAAGGTCACACTGCTTGAAGGTGGAAGTGCAGGTCTGGCTGACTCCTGAGCTAATGCACCTGCAGCCTATTGCATCTGGCAGATGATGCCATTCATAGTTGGCCAGAAAAATAATGCAGAAACAGACCAGTCCCTTGATGTTACATCAAGCCCTGGATGTCACATCTAATGAATTCAGCATATCTGCTAATTTACCTAAATGTGTTATTTAAACCAACCCTAAGTGCTTTTTTAAAAAAATGTTTATTTTTGAGGGGTGCCTGGGTGGCTCAGTCGGTTGAGTGTCCGACTTCAGCTCAGGTCATGATTTCACAGTCTGTGAGTTCGAGCCCCACGTC